CACTTTTCAGTGTGCTTCAAATCTTAATTATGTTTTAAAAAACTGTACTTGCAGACAGTAATGCAATGATGTTAATGGACACTTTCATGTTACTTAACACTTAAACTTTTGTGAAGGCACTTTATAATGTCAAATTATTTTTAAAGCACATTTTAACTTATTTTAATCGTTTGATGTGCTTTAAAGAAGTACACTTAATATGTAAACTAATATTTTAAAGCACATGTGAAGTACTTGATTCAAGTTTTAACTGTTATTTAATGTTACATGTAAAGTTTAAGCTATTAGACTTTCATTTAATTGTAAATAGTAGCATATACAATTTAGTTATCACTTATATTTGTCAAAGTAGGCTATATTGTTTTAAAGAATATTATTTCTGGAACGAGTACTCCTTCTTTTTTTTTTTTTTTTTTTTTTTTTTTTTTTTTTTTTTAAAACAAAAAAAAGTATCCTAAAGTTGAAAGTCCCTTGTGTTCATTCACAAAGATTATGCTGTTAAAGTCACTTATCACTAGTAAAAACAAATGATTGTATGGACTATATTCAGACAACACTTAATAGACCGCAAAGTTCTGAAGGACAGACATTTAGACCATTCTAAACAATATACTGTCTTGAAAATTCGACGTGATATAGAACCTGTATACAGAATTGTCTAATTTTTACAACACATATTTTGATTTATTTTTTAAACATACATTTTAAATAAATGGCCGATATTTAGGTACACAACAGTAGCGGCAACCCACTGAACCCACTGTCTGGCCCTCATTTTTATTCACGTAAAATTAAATGGGCCTTTCTATCCTGAAAAAGCTCAATGAGAACAAATTCTTACTTTAGTTTTTTTTCACACCCCAGTCCACTAGGTGGCGGAAAAGTTATTTTCTATTAATGATTCAACGCCATACCCCCATAAGAAGAAGATTCCACTGTTTGTTGTCAAATGACTGTCAAAGCAAAGCTATTTAATCCTAAATCCTTATTCATATAATGTTCTGACTGTGATCAACATGGCCGAGGAAGAGTTCACAGACATAAATGGCAACTCGATTTCTTTAGACTGCCAAACTCGCTCTGCTTTCTGCAGAGAGTTTACGGTCACCTCACCGAAACTGTCCTTGCGCAAGGTGATGGTCTACACCTGCTTCGTTTGGTTATTTGCTTATGCTGTATTTTTCTTCACCGAGGTAAGAACATCTGATACTGCAAGAATATTAACTCGTAAACTAATATTCCAGTAGTACAATGAGATTATTCCACTGCTAATGACTTTTATTATTTATTTATAATTAAATGTCTAGAACACGACTGTCCTGTCGAGTGCCATCATCCTCACTCTGGCGGGGATGATGATTCATATTCACTTTGTGAAGGTGGACCATGAGACCCTTCTCATAATCGGTTCCCTTGGTGTCCAACTGTCTTCATTTTATGCATCTGGACGAGAAAGTACGATCTTCATTGAGATGAACAAGCTGAAAGACATTGTGATCAACGAGGCTGTTTATATGGTAAACGTGCCGTTTTCTCCAGTGATTCTTGTGCATGATTGGTTTTGTGATCTAAAAATAATCACCCTTGTATCATATGTTTCCACCTCAGCACGGCATTATATACTATCTGTGCATTCTGATAAAGGACCCAGCAGATCCTGAGACGGTGACCAGTGTTGTCCCTCTTTTCCAGGTATGAAGCAGCTGTTGTTCTATTGCAAAAGCAAGATTATAGCAATCTTTGGCATGTCAGTTTGTAAATTAACATGTTGCAGAGTTCAAAGCCTCGGCTGAATTGTTTGGTTCAAGTGTACAGGAGCTGTCAAGAGATTCTTGCACAGTTCAGATGACAGTGAGGTAATGATTCATGTTTGCTTCATACTATACATGTTTTGCATAATTGACATTTCTGTGTCTATAAATATTTTATGGCTCTATTTCTTTTACTCTGCAGAGTCTTTCTTTGAAACAGGATAAAGATTGGAAATCCCAAGAATGAACCATAAGTGTATTGTTAGTAGTTTTTGTATCATCACCAACACTACATTTGTTGCATATAGTGGTTTGTTAGATGCATTGTTGCATTCATCCACAAACTTACTGGGTCCTTTAAACTTTATAAAAAAATTAAAATAAAAAAAACATTTATAATCTGACGTTTTATATTTGGTAGTGCTTTTAATATTTTTTTCATATAAATTAGGTACACTCCTGATTTTGATATTTACACTTTGTAGTATGTTTTAAATATTTTTCTATATTAATTGCAGTGACTATAGCTGATTGTTTTTCCTTATGATTCTGACCTTTATTAGCCACTAGAGGGACATGTGTGCCAATATTTGGTAACTGGAACCAAATCAGTTTATATTGATGATGGTAATGATTTCCTGTTTATACTCTTTTAATCATGTGACATTTTAAATAGGCATTGTATTGATGATTATTTTTTTCCTATTTAAAAATCAAAGTGAAAACATGAACAAAACCGTTTTAATAAACATTATTATGCTCGTTTATTTCATACATAGATTTTGTTTGATTATTTAAGTATGGAGTATCAGTGCATCATTCAGCTCTTAAAGCACTTTTTTTTTTTTTTTTTTTTTTTAGCCGGCATTGGTGTGGGTCATTTGAGGGATTATGCTAATCCATTTTATTTACTTTTTGGTGGGTCGGCATTTAATTGTGTTCCTGCTTTTGTCAGGATGTCAAGCAGAACTCGCTGTAAGTTTATCTGAGCTCTTATTGCGGAGTTCACAGCATCACAAAGCTTCTGAGTTGGCCTACTTAAGTGATGAATGTTCCTTAAAAATGAAGTAGTTATTAATTTCTGAATCGCATTTAACTTTTATAAATGGGAAGTGGAAATGTATACTATGGTGGTCTGTACCAAGTAGATGCTTTCTAGAGGTCAGACAACAGAAGGCAAGTGAAGCTTTCTTGCAATATCAGTTTCACAGTATTTCTGGTGCACAGCTGTTGTGAACATTTGTCACACTATAGCTCTTACTGTGGTTTTGTGAAAACAAGACTTTTGTTGTTGTGTTTCTCTTTATTTAGGATTCTGCTAACCTTTACATATTCTGAGGAAATGTTTTCCATGCCACCGCCGTATTTAAATATTCTGCAAGTTCCTTATAGGAACTCGCTGCCTGTTGCATAGACACGTGTAAGAGTTGTCATTCAAGTTTAACTGTTTGGGGAAAGGAAAGAAAAACCACCCATTTGTTTATTTGTGTTCATGCTGCTTTGTATTTACACACAGTGAAACATTCCCTTCACTTTTAAAAGCAACTGTCAGCAATGATTAAGAACACAAATTCCCCTTGTGTTTAAATGAATATTCTGGATTCAGTACAAATTAACGATGGCAAATCTGGCATTGTTGGTTACCAAGGGAAATTAGTTTGAATGTTCCTCTTTCTTTAAAAAAAACAAAAAAAACAATCACAATTTGGGTTACAATGAGGCCCTTTTAAAAAAAATAGTATAACAGGATTCAACAATATTTGTGCTAACATGGTTTTAGTTTGAAACATTATCACACATGGACCTTTTCTGTGTGTTTCATATGTTTTGAAGTGTAATTTATTCCTGTGATGGCAAAGCTGAGATTTCAGTTGTTCATTTCTCCAGTTATTTGTGGCATATGATCCTTCAGAACTCATTCTATTGATGATTTGCTGCTCAAGGAACATTTATTATTATCAATACTGAAAACAGTTATGTGGAAACTTTTTTAAAAATTCGTTTATGAATGGAAAGTTCAAAAGCACAGTATTTGAGAGAAAACTTTACTGTCACTTTTGATCAGTTTAATGCATCCTTGCTGAATAGAAGTATTCATTTCTTTAAAAAAAAAAAAAACCTGCTAACCCCAAACGTTTGAATGGTATTGTATATCCAGTTTACAGCTTTGTTCCCATGTCAGTGTAAAATGACCGTAAAAATTTCAAGAACAGCTTTACAGCTCAAGTACTACACATTTTAACAGAAGTGATGTAAGTGATTTTATAAAATGTCTTTATGAAGTTTTCAAACAAACTTTTTGAAATTCATTTTGCTTCTTTTGTAAGTGCCTCATTTATTTTATTATAATTTTTTTGTGATCAACATTGTTACAAATGCTGTCGATTGGGCTAAACTCGTGTTGAAGTCATGCTTGAGCCCGAATAGAACCTAAAGGTCAGAGTTCAGAGACCTTGTTGTTATTCAAATATGGTTTCCCATGTAGCATTGCTTCATTCCCCTCTGACCATTTGGAATGACCATTCCTATAAAGGCTGTGAAAACAACTCAGGGGTTTGAAATGATCCTGTTAAGTTGCTGTGAAGATGCTCCTGACAGGATAATAATCCCTCCCGGAGGTGCGAACCTCCCAGGAACTCTACTTGGGTGAGTGTCAGTGGGGGTTAGACCGTCCTACACCCTCCAGCCACCCAACAGAGCACATCATAAACAAGCCGTCCACCATCAGCACTTTTCCAATTAATTCAACTCAGTATAACAATAAAATAGCAGTGTGTTTAGCTGCACGGATTGACATGTTTACACTGTGCCCTCCTGACCCAGTTAATTGGCGTAAACCACGGTTTATATCATTGTGTATACATAAACACTCCAGAGGCACGTGAGCTCCTTTGGTTTATAAATTAAGTACTCGAGTGATAAAACTTGGCATTTTCAGCACAAGTGGGAGGAAGCCTCCTTAAGGGCTCTGTTTTGGGCTTTTTTCACGCAAATGATTAAATGGCATCGCTGCGAAAAGCCGCTTTTGGATCCTTGTTTTTAAGAGTATATTTAAACCGAGACCCCTCGTGAGCTGATTTAACGTCTACATCTGATTGCCTGAAGGATGGGCTGTTTTTGGAGGGAAAAACACTTGTGTGGGAAGGGTGCAGGAACCCCGCTGTGACGGGAGTTCCCCTCCTGACACTACTTTGCCTCCCTGTGGCCTTTTACTATGTGCTAAGGTGTAACATTCACAGGCCATGAGGCAACACAAAAACACCCTGGTGATAGAATATGGACCGCTGCAGCGACTCCCCTCTCAGCTGTAATCTTCTTGTCATTGGCCACCACTTTTTGTATGCAGTTGCTAACTCATGGGTTGGACGTACTTCTGTTACCGGGAAGCGGCATAAACCCTCCCTAAACTGTGTTTGTGTGCTTTTTGTTTTGTGTAATAACATATGCAAATAGTGCTGAGCAACTCTCACTGCATCTGCTTCAGTTATTGACTTCAGATATGCAAAAATAGCAAATATTAACTGAAGTAATCAGGGTGTCAAAACAATTTGAGGGCATTATAAAGGCTTTGAAAAAGGAGAAGGCTCGATAGTTTTACCCAGGAAGCTATACTGCTGTGCTTTTTCAATGCTCTCCATCCCCCATACCTCTCTGAATAACAAAACTGTTACTGGAACTTCAACCAGAAAGCCCACCCCTTCAGCCAAAAGTTTTCATTTGAATCTTTGCTCAAAACTCTTCAGCTTCTCTTGATAAACGTGTGCAGAATCATAGGACAGGTGCTGTGGCTATGCATCTTTTGTCACCTGAACTGACTCATGGGAACTCGGCGGCGACTTTTGCCTTGCCTTGCAATTTATGTCTTGAAGTAGCCTGTTATAAAATGTATTTTTTCAGCTTTGCAGAGTTAGGTACTCATGCTCTCTCTTTGAGGTTGTTTTGGACTGCAGCTTCCATCTGCCTCCCTGTGAACCTTCACCTAGAAATATCCACCAGATATCCTCTTAAATTAATTTCTCAAGTTTGCTACTGCCAAGCCCCT